TGTTTGGCTGCTATAATTCGTGTAAGTTACTGACAGTGAAAATGGCGAATGGTTCGTTGTTTACACTCCAGAACTGACCAGACAATAATGACACACTGAGGTCATAAAACAAGCAGACTTTACACTCACTATGATGTATTAATAAAACACAATAGTACAGCACATTTATATTCATTGCATTTCCATTTGTACAGCAATTAATTGTTAGGCCTAAATTAGTCTGCTCAATAAAAAATAATTATGTTAAAACGGTATCTATTTTTGGTCACTCATATAGGCGCGTAATTTGTTCCGAAGAGCTAAGGAAGAAAGATCAGGTGAAATGGGAACAGCTGATTTTGAGTAAGTTATCATGATAAATTATTTGATTATTTTAAAATATGATACATTTGAACTCAATTTCCAAGCAAGCAGAACAAACTAATTGCAGTATTGGGCCAACATTTGAATTTCTATTATCTGTAATTGTTGGCCATCTTTGAAGATATGTCTTGCTTAAATGTTTGAAAGGAACTAGAGCAGCCATTTTTATATCGCTAATTAATAAATTTGCTCTATTAGATGTACATTTCCAATATAAATGTATAGGTTTTACTGTAATAATTAAGCATGGTTTGTCTGTACTTGTAGACAGATGGGTAAAGCAGTTGTCGGTTGCAGACATGGTGATTTGACTGAAAATGTACCAACAGATGAACAGCTTGCCTGCGTTCAGACTATGTCTGAAAATGGCCGTGGCAATATGCGACCAAAGCAGGTTAGCATGTCCCTTGTCTGCGCTCTCAAGTAATTGTTTAAAGTGTGTGAGTCTATTGAGAAAGGAAAGCAAGAAATACATTTTACCACATATACATAATAATGTAAATTTTACTAATTTATTTTTAAGTGAATTTTGAAAAAAATAATCACAATTCACTTTATTGACAAATGGTGACAGAGCATAGCTAATATATTATTCCTACATCAGAAATTGAGGAACTAGGTTTATAAACTAAAAAAAAGGTTTGAGACGATTATCTCCTAAAAATCATTTTCGTGTCAAAATGCAGCATTCCTAAACATAATACTGTGTGTGTGCATATACTAAAACTTGAATGTACAAAATTACCAAACAGTAAAATTGAATCAGCCCTTCTTTCCATAGTAAAATTAAAAAGATGTTGAGAAAAAGCAGAGAAATATTGAAATATGTGTTTTCATTTAGGGATAATATGGTCATGAAGCCAATGATAAAATCTTGAGTAAAAGGTTTCATCAAATAATTGACGAAAATAAAATAAAATAATACCAGAAATCTTTGTTTGGAAATTTTGGATTGGCAACATTTATACAATTGAGGTTCATAAATAAAAAAAATTGCTTGGGTACCTCAAGTTTTTGTTTTGGAATTTTGGAAACAGCCTAGCTGTCACTAAGTTTCAATAAATTGATGTGTTAAAAGTGTGTTAGCCATGACCATCATAACTTACTATCACAATTATTCACAGATTCGGGACATTGCTGATAAAGTAGTGAAGCCTCGTTTAGAAGCATTAGTCGAGGACGGGGAATGTATTCTAAATGGATTGTCTGTTGAAGAAGCTGCCAGCATGCCAGAATTCATGCTTCAATTACCGTATGTACCCAGATATATTTATTCATATACTGTAAAGGGGTTAATTATTCACTGGGTTTTAATTTAGCTTATTTCGCTGACTGGAAAATGCGCTAAATTAAAACCCAGTGAATATGTAAAATTTAGCATAGAATACATTATCTAAATGATAAAACTGTGAATTTAAAACCCACTGAATATGCCTGAAATGATAAATC